TGGGAGCAAACTCAACAAAATAACTATCATGTGATTGAAAATTAAGATCAAGATGACATGTTTCATGATTATCATTATTCTTTAAAGCATACGTGCAATCATGCTCGAAGGCATGCTTTCATCATAGTAAATTTGCTCATGAAAGCTTGGGGGACAAAAAATATCATCTCCATCAAACATAGCTTCCCCAAGCTTGTGGCTTTGCATATCATTAGCATCATGGATATTCAAGGAATTCATACTAACAACATTGCAATCATGCTCATCATTCACATATTTCATGCCAAGTATTCTATGTAATTCTTCTTCTAGCACTTGAGCACAATTTTCCTTTTCATCAAACTCACGAAAGATATTAAAAAGGTGAAGCGTATGAGACAAACTCAACTCCATTTTTTTTGTATTTTCTTTTATAAACTAAACTAGTGCTAAAAAAAGAACTTGCTACTGGTATGGATCTATTCCTGCAGAACTGGGAAACATGACGTCCCTTCAAGTCATAGATTTTACTGGCAATGATCTTGTGGGTTTGATACCAAGCAACTTAAATAATCTGTGCAGTTTGGAAGTGCTGCAATTCGATGGTAATAACATTAATGCGAGCATAGGGGAGTTCATGGATCGATTGCCATGGTGCTCAAGGAGTACATTACAAATGTTGTCAATGAGGAATGCGACTATGACCGGGCACCTACCACTAGAAGTTGGAGCACTAGGTAACTTGACAGAGTTGGATCTCAGCTACAATAAACTAAATGGTGTGCTCATGAAGGAGCATTTTTCAGGCTTACTAAGTTTAGAGTATCTGGACTTGTCATACAACTCCTTGAAAATGGATATTAAACCAAATTTGGTTCCTCCGTTTAAACTGAAGTACATAGATTTACAGTCATGCCTAGTGGGGCCCCATTTTCCAGATTGGCTTAGATGGCAGACCGACATTGATACTCTTGGTCTTGCAAATACAAGTTTGGATGATGTTATTCCTGATTGGTTTTGGGTGACATTTTCCCGGGCTTCAGTCTTGGATGCCTCAGGAAACATACTACGTGGTTCATTACCGGCAGATCTACAACACATGTCAGCAGATTTTATACTTCTGGGATCCAATAAGCTCTCAGGTCAAGTTCCACGGCTACCTATAAATATATCAATCTTGGTTCTGTCCTCAAACACTTTCTCAGGGTCATTGCCATCAGAGCTAAAAGCCCCACTGCTTCAGGCATTGCTTCTGCAAAATAATCAAATTGCAGGCACCATTCCATCATCTATGTGCCAATTGACTGGTCTGAAGCGGATGGACCTATCAGGAAATAATTTAACAGGAGATGTTATGCAGTGTTGGAAGGAGTCAGGTAACAGTTCTTCAGTGTCCAGCTTAAACTCTGCAGAACAATTTGGTTCTGTCATGCTTAGTCTATCCTTGAGCAACAATAATCTCTCAGGTGAATTCCCTAAATTTCTTCGGAGTGCCTCACAATTGAAGTTCCTTGATCTTTCATACAATAGCTTCTTTGGAACATTGCCAAGGTGGTTAGAAGAGAAAATGCCACAGTTGCAAATCTTGAGGGTGAGATCAAACAAGTTTAGTGGCCATATTCCTAAGAACCTTACTTGCCTTGAAAATCTTCATTATTTGGACTTGGCCCATAATAATATATCAGGAACCATACCATGGTCGTTATCAAACTTGAAAGCAATGAGGGTCATAAGTCGTAATACGGTGTCCGTTAATTTGGAGGAGAGCATATCAATAATCACAAAAGGCCAAACACGTGACTACACCTTTGAAGTCTACAACCTAGTGGTGAATCTTGATCTGTCATGTAACAATTTAACAGGACAGATTCCTGATGAGATAAGTTTGCTGATTGGGCTCACCAGCCTAAACTTATCAAGTAATCAGCTGACCGGAAGGATCCCTAATCAAATTGGTGATCTAAAGCAGTTGGAGTCCGTGGACCTATCCTACAACGAGTTCTCTGGTGAAATCCCGCCAGGCTTGTCGGCTCTAACCTATCTGAGCCACTTGAACCTATCATACAACAACTTATCAGGCGCGATACCATCTGGCCCGCAGCTGGAGGCTCTTGACAACCAGATCGGCATCTACATCGGCAACCCCGGTCTTTGTGGCTACCCTCTGTCCAAGAACTGCTCTACTAGTACTACTGATGCAGAGCAAAGTGTCAACCTTGAAGAAGCAGATGATATCGCGTATCTCTACCTTGGGATGGGCATAGGATTTTTGCTTGGCCTTTGGGTGGTGTTTTGCACCATGTTACTGGGGAGAACCTGGGCGATTGCTTACTTTCAGATCATTGACAAACTTTATGATGATGTTTATGTATGGGTGGCTATTACTTGGGCTCACCTGATGAAGAACCACGACGACGACGCGGCGTGAGGGAGCCCGCGGCATGTGCAGTTGAACTGCTCAAGAGCTGTATGATATTGCTTTGTGATTTTTATGTTATTGCTTTGTGATTTGGAGAGCAAGTGGTCCTATGGTGTGTGTATTGGTACTACTACTATGTACGTACTAGTTTCTGGTGCTAATACCAGTTACCTGTAAAGGTACTTAATGTACCGCAGCACAATATATTATATGGGTTGAATCAAATGGAACTATTCCATAAATTTTATCAGACCGAAAGCTGTGGACATGGCTACGTGGACAGCAGTGGGCCTCCTGAGTGCTTGCGGCCTATGTTCATGCTTGCGCTCACAAAGGAGACAATGTTGTTTTTGTTTCTGCGGGGCTGTATGATATATCGTGGTTCCGGCGACGGGGTTCATGACCACTACCTTGGGCCGGTACGACGGTCGACGGGGATGTGTAGCTGGCGCTGGGCCCTCTGAAGTCTGAATGAGAGAGAGGGCACCTCCTGCCGCTGGTCAAGTAGCAGCTCAAGCTCTCTCTATGTCTCCAGGTTATGATCATTCCTGGATCCCCTATGTACTGGAGTTCAACTCTTGAGTCTGAAAATCTGAATGTGAAGCAATTATAATGAAGGGTGAGAGGCGCCTGACCTAAATGATTGTTCTCCTGGTGAAGCAGGTAGGCAAAAGGGACACTGACTGATGCTAGAATAATAAAAGGATTTGTACTGGTAACATACCTCAATTTGGTCCTCTATACTTTGATGTTGCTCTACAGCAATTAGTACCCAGCTTGCCTGAAATGTTTGTTTGCTGCATATCCAAGGAAGGAACTTACTGATATTTCTGTAGTATTTCACACATGAACTTCTCTTGGAGTCCTGCCAGTGAAGCTCCTCTGCAAAAGCCTCTCCATTGGTGCCTGCGTTTTTCGCCCTAGCCCTTCCGATGTTCTTTTGCCAACGGTGCTTACATCTTGCCAAAGCAGGAATCAGGGGTAATAGTAGTACTACGTACCAGATCATTAGCATCCATCAGACCATCTACAAAGGCAAGGTCCTCGGGTACTGGAAATCCAACCTTGTCATATATGACCATGGTATATAAAAAGATTTCCAGAAGTGCAAGATAGATACATAAAAAGTTGATTACAGCTGCAAGATCACTCAGATAGACAAATCGACATAATGCAACAAGACTACTCAAAAGACTAGATGTATAACAACTTTCAGCTGCTCCACTCTCCAGCAATAGAAACAATTGTTATAATCTTTATGGCAAAGAGAATTATTTCTAAACTTAAGGTCACCGACATTGACAAGTCAACTTACATACATTCTTTGCACAATCTAGCTATAGCACCATCGGTTTACTTACCTGCAGCTCCAATAAAGATTGCCATATATTCAACTTCCGATGAGACGAATAAGACAAGTTTTCCGATAACAGAAACATAGCTCAGCTTCCCCATTTCATAACGAAATTGAATAGTCATTAATAACAGCAACGTCGTGAATTCCAGATTGAGTTTTTAGCAGCACATTTGCATGCTCTCACGATCAAATTTCACCATGCCAAAGGAAGCAGGTAGGCAACGGAAACCTCAACTAGCTGATGAGCGGAATACTCATTTCACACGATGAAATGTGGAATGAGACACACGCATTGGCACCATCGCAGAGCCTCTCATGTTCTGTTCTCCCCTTGGGGATTGCGCACAGCCAAGTATGCAAACTTATTATTCTTTTTCTTCTTTGCAGCTAATTAAGAAATCGCCAGAGTCATGCATGGAAATATGTATTTTCCTTTCAGACCCACAGCTGATGTCGTATTTATCAGAAACAGGAATAGCCCAGATTTAACAACTCATCGAGAAACAGATGCAACAAGTGCAAACACCTGACAGGCTGCTGGGATTAAATTCTTCTCGCCCCATCAAAGCCTTAACACAGGAGGAGATATGTTAGGAACTCCTCCAAAGTACCGAAAAGTGCCCTTTTGCCTTGAAACTGTTGAATTCTGTGTTGAGAATCCCATGAGAAGATGATGGAACCGGCATTGTTGCATAACAGAGCAGAACCTGATAATAATCGCAGGTGAGTCAGTCTTGGGAGTGAACAAATCTCTGTATATTTGTCAATACATTAATAGCAGTCAACTCAGCCTCTTAGTTTAGGATAAGCACGCATTCTTTAACAAACTTTAAACAAGAGCATGCACATATGAGGAACTGTAAGTTATATAGATAGAGAACAAATAGGAGTCAAATTTGAGTCAACAACAGGTACTTGAACCTTGAGAGTGTAAAACAAACATATCCTAAATATATACCATAACTTATGTCAATATGAGGAAAACGGAAATGGTAAGATCTATACTTGTTTCTACAATCAGTTCTACTAGTACTAGGCTATGTAGTTGCATATTTCTACTGTATGTGAAGAAGATATACATGGGCATGAAGAAAGGAATCACATTAATTAGCTTTAGTCAACAAACTCACAATAAATTCGCACAAGCCATTATTACTAGCTTATCAATTGCTAATTCAATTCTGCCAATGCATAACATATGCACAAAAGCCGAAAAAGTGAACCCTAACCTTGGAGCAGGGATGATCACCTAATCCTTTCAAACAGTCCTTTCCGAGTCAGTTCAACTGTAACATTCCTTATGTGGCTAATCTTCATTATATCTTCATTGCATTCATCTGAATCTCTCTGTCGCCGGAGTTTCTCAATCAATTCTTCTGATGTGTCCTCCAGACGTAATTTTTCAAGGGCCCTAAGATATTCGATACCATCTGGAAGAAACTTCAACTCGGGACAGTACATGAACAATAGCACGACGAGGTTTTGCATTGCGCCCTTCTCTATTCTAACTTGGTTGAGCTGTGCCGCGCCCCATATGTGTAGAAACTGAAGTTTTGGAAATGAGCCTGCGTAAAAGTCCAACCTCTTCCCTTCAAAAGCCTTCATTAGCCCAAGAGAGCGTAGACCATGTAACACGCACAAACAGGAAAATGTGTCCTCATCAATATTGGAGAATCCCAGGGTCAAGCAAGTGAGGCTATTAAGGTGTGACCAAGAAGAGAGAAGCTTTGGCATCGATGTTTTTTCTAGCTGTCCTGCTAAACCAAGCCAAGACAGGGTTAGAGGTAAATATAGCCCTTCAAACTGCAGCACCTCATTCTCAGCTGCAGCGGCAATTCCGAGATGAACAAGATGGCTCATTTTAGAGATAGCATTGCTCAAGTCAGCAGAGTGTTCACTTCTCACATTGCACACAGTGAATGTTCTTAGCTCTGTCAAAGCTCTAACTTCACGCAGAAACACTGGAGTGACTTTGACACACTCGAGAGCACGCAATCCTGCCAAGTGCTGTATTCCATTAGGCACGTTGACTCCACCTACCCTGAAAATTTCTAATGACTCTAATGTACCAGGAACAGTATATGCATACAGGTATCTCAACTTCTGAAGTTTTACAACACTGTTCGGCAAATACGTCAGATTAGCGTTGGTAGCATCCAAGACTTCCAAGTTTTGTAACCTCCCCACTGCTTCAGGTAGGCTTTCAATATCGGTATCCCTAAGTCCCAAATAACGCAGATTAAACAAGTCGAATACCTCATTGGGAAGCATTTTGACACGAGAACCTTGCAGATCCAATGTTGACAGCAAATTTGAAGATGTTAGGATAAGCTTCAGCAAATCAACATTGCTATATTTAAATACATGGAGCGCACGGATATGTGTCGCACCAGATCGTCTCAGCTGCTCAAGGTTTTCCCCTTGGACAAATATGCGACGTACACACTCTGCAGAAAATGCCCCGGCAGCAGAGCCATTACAAACTTCACCAAAGCATTCCTCTTTGGCTTTGTTGAGGGCAAGCAGGCGTATGACATCATGCATCCGGTAGGATTTCAGTGATCCGGCATGATTGCTCTCCATTACCTGCAGTAGGCTTCGGTTCACGAGCTCAACCAAGTATCCCTCGGCCACTTCCTCCAAGGTTCTGTTCCCTTCCTTTTCCCTGATAAATCCAGCAGCAATCCACTGCCTCATTATCGTCTTCCTCTTTAATACATAATCTTCTGGGAATAATGCACAGTATAAGAAACAATTCTTCAAATCATATGGAAGGTCGTCCAGGCTGACCTTTAGAATCATATCAACATCAGGGAGCATGTCTTTCACCAACTGTGAATCCAAACCCCTGTACACATTCTCCCATTCGGCAAAATTTGGGAGTTTGCTGGAGAGTAGGCGGCCAATGCATGCAAGAGCAATAGGCAAACCTTGACACTTTGCAATGAACTTCACCGCTAATTTGTGCAACTCCAGCGGGCACTCTTTGTCGTCATCATTCCAAAAAGCTCCTTGGCAGAATAACAACCAAGAGTGACGTTCTTGTAGCGGTTCCAACTGAATTGCAGACTCCCTAGTTGCCAACAACGACACTTCCTGCTTTCTTGATGTTATGACAAATCGGCCGGTACGATCAGATGTTGGGAAGACATTCCTTATCTCTGTCCACACGCGTGCAGTCCAGACATCATCCAGGACCAAGATGTACTTTTTACCTTGAAGGTAGTTATGGATGGATTCTGCTAGGCCTCTCATCTCAATGTTGGCGATATCAACTGCGACCCCGAACTCTGTGGCGATCTTCTTCAGCAGGTCTTCAAGACGGTAATTCTGCGACACGGTTACCCATGCAGCGGCGTCGAAATCCACCTTCACGGTGTTGTACACATGAGCAACCAGAGTGGTCTTGCCAACACCAGGCATCCCACACACCGTGGTGACTTTGCTGGTCCTCTGCTCCAGACCATCAGCACCACCGCCTCCGCCGGTCAGCCACCGTATCAGCCTTTCCCTGTTCTCCTCAATCCCCACAAGGTCCTCATCCCTGGTGAAATGCAGAGCTTGATTCGTCGATCTGGCCGCAGAAACAAATCTGTCAATTGAGTAATCCTTCTTCCTCCGCTTAGCATCCTGCAGCTTGGCTTGGATATCTTGGAGCTTGGCCGCCAGGCGGCGCCAGGTCCTGATATGCTTCAGCCTCTTCTTCATCTTGGCGTCATAGCCCCCATGCTTCTCCTCCTCCAGCTTGTAGGTGAACTCGTCGACGACGTCCTCGATCTGGAAGGCGAGGCCCCTGATCTGGCCGACGAAGATGGCAGTTGTCCTGTCAGTGTCCTTGAACCGCTCCGCCTCCTGCAGGTAGGCCTGCATGCTCTCCAGCTCTGCCTTGGAGTCACGGATCTTGCCGAAGAGGTCCCTGAGGGCGGAGGCTTCCTTCCATAGCAGTTTTGCGCCAAACGTGAGCGCGTCTTTCGCCAGCGCCGCACCAAGCTTGACCACCACCTGCCCTACCACAGCCTCCGCCATGGTTGGTGAGGCGTCAAAGCATCACCGACTGCATATTAGATCCACAAAAAATGAATCAATTTTGGACCTGAGATGAGATCTCCAGCAAGATAACAAACAGCAAAATAATTCCTGGAAGTTGAACACCACGGTATGTAGGACGCACAGGCCAGGGAGCTGAGGGGGGCCGGAGAAGCTGGACGGCGGCAGCGGAGAGCTGCGCGG